AGTCTTTCATTGGCCTCAATGAGAGAAAAGGTGAGGAGTGTCTACGAAAATACTGGTTTGGAGAGACACTAGGCTTAATCATGAGGATGAAAAGAAATCTTTAACATTTAATGACGCTCAAAACTCAAGGGAGGAATTTATCGCCAGTAATAGAAAGAGTTTTCATGGCCTATATGAATTTCAGATAAGCCCTGATTCAGGAAAGAACTCAAACATGTATTTAAGTCTGTCCCTATACAGCAAAGCAGTTAGCCTTGGATTTTTTTTCAGTGAAGCTAAGGAAGTTAGGTACCCAACTCCCATGGAGCCTTTAGCACAGGCTGAACTTTAGCTATATGCTGAATTGACTTCAGCAGGCCATAAGCATGCATTTAGCTCTGCTGAATAGGGGTGGCTTTGCTGAATTGAGGTTACAGCTGGGCCTTGATCATGCATGTGTTTGTCCCTTTTCTGAGGTGGTCCATCAGGCCACAGCATTTAGAAACTGAGGGTTAGAAGAGCAGCCTTTCAATTTCCTAGGGGATAGTTTGTTGGCTTAAAAGCAGAATCAGTCCCACAAATAAACCAAAAACAAATGAAAAAGTGATTTTTGCAAATTCAACTTTTCACATCACGTCTGAATACATACTAAAAGTGGAGGAACGGGAAGTTGCAAGGCCATTGTCTTGGACAATTTAAAAAATAATCATCATCATCATTATCATAAAAGCCCCCGAAAAAAAAAAAAAAGATACGCCGAACAAAGGAAGTAATTTCTGGGTCTCAACGTTAATAAACATAAAGTGTTAGAATGTACCTATTATGCTCACTATTCCAACCATTTTTTTTAAAGTTTTACAAAATGAATTACTGTCACTTTTTAAACATTGTGTAAGAGGAAATGAGTGTGCACAACTACACTTTTCTAGCATTCTTGAACTAATTCACAAATGCAAGAAAATTAAAAAAATGGGAAAAAAGAAAAAAAGGTGATGAATGTAGGTAGTTTGGTGTTATAAACTATACAGGAATGAAGCGCTTTTTGCCACAGAAAGAACAAGAAAGGAAATTCCTCCCTGTTCAATTTTGCGTGCTATGAGGGTCTTTTTTATTTTTTTATTATAAACACTATTAAATTCAGACTGCTTTTTTGGTTTTTTTTTCCTTTATCTGAATATACAAGAACATTCATTATCAAATGTTCGTTATCATCAATACTACAAAGAACGAGACACAAATCGCAAGAAACAATGGAAAATGTTAATAAAGCTGAAAGAATCGTTGAGTTTTTTTGTTCTTTTTTTAATTTTTATTTTTTTTGAGTTTCTGCAGTTTTTTGTTTTTTTGTTGTTTTTTTCATTTTGTTTTGTTATGTTTTTTTGGTATCGAAGTCAGGTTTTTCTGGGCAGAAAAAAGAAAAACTAAAAAAACGCGAAGTTTGTGAAAAAAGGCAACCAACCAGTCAGCAACGACAACAAAAGATGTAAAGGGAACAAAACAGGAAACCAAAAATGAGACTTATTAAGTACCATAAAGGAGTCAATACCATGCCATGGAGAATGGGGGAGGAAGAGAGCAAGAGATAGGTAAGTAATTGCAGGGTGGATAAATGCAGCTCCATCTAGGTGCTCCAAGAACTGGTCTCTGCTGCTATGGAGGTGGCATCCAGCTCAGTTCTCAGGCCAAACAGGGAGTGGTACTAGTGCCTGCTGCTTTGTGTAGCTTTAATCTCACATCACGTTATTCATTTTCAAGAGGTACCATTGCACACCATTGCACCTACTTGTCAGCTAAACTTCACGACCCCCCATGGTACAACTGGCTCTAGAGGGGTATAGGGAGTGTTTACAGGGAGGACTCTTGACATCAGTGGGTATCCACGCAGGCACTGAGGTCCACCTCTGTGGGGCCAGTTTCAGGATCAGGATCACAAACTCTGATCCAGCCAAATACTTAAGCACCTGCTTAACTTTAAGCACTTCAGTACTCCTTTTGATGACAACAGCAATCATTGCCTTCCAAAGGACTACTCACGTGGTTTGAGTGCTTTAAGGCCATAGACCAAGATGTAGCCTATATATGGCTAATGAAGTAGTCAGGATGCCATAATGGATGAGGCACTGGTTATTGGGGGAAGTGCAATTTGAAGAGTGGGGAGAAGGCAGAATAAAAGAAAGTACAGTAGGTAAAAGGGGTGGCATAAGATGATGGTCCTCTTGGGAAGTAAAAATCCTCTTCCCTCCTAGCATTTTCATGTTCCTACTTCAGCTTCATCTCAGACGAACACAAAGCGTCAGTTATGGCCCAAGGATCAGGCTGTCATTTCACATTCAGAAGGGGGCTTTATTCTATTTTCCTACTCTACCCTCACTCAATCTTGCAAACACCGGTGTTTGCATGTGCGCGCACATATACGTAATGTGTATATGTGGATGTGAATCATCTAGTGCCGAGGCCAATACAATGTATAATTGTATTGATTGATATTTTATCATCTTTAGTGCAGAAAGACATATTATTTGTACCCACCAAAGTCACGTGTTATAATCAGGTCACCCCCCAAGCAGCTGCTAAGAAACCTGTACCATGCACTGCCCTACTCTGTATTCTGTGTTGCAAGGTGGGCTTACAGAAACTTTGCATCTGGAATGTTCTAGACAAGTTTGGTATATTTAGGGCTAGTTGGTGAGCACTTTTACTACTTCTGGTAATTAGTCACTGCCGTGTATAAGCCAACTGCAAGCAACCAGACTTCTTTTGGGACTAGCTTCTCTCTACTGTGAATAAAAAAGTTCACATGAGGGTTCTTAATTGGGACCATTTTTAATATCCCTCTACCTCTAAAGATCTAAGTGTCATAGCATTAGAGCTGGCAGACTGGCTAAGAAAATGCAAAGAAACCAAAATCACTCATATTTTGGATTTGGCAGGCGAATGTAGCCACCAATATTTTAGAAAGTTATAGACTTTATAATCTAGAGGTTCATAATCCATCTAAACTAACCCTTTAATTTAAAAAAGGCTCTCAATTTGTCAAGCGAAGACCTCAGAAAGCGGAGGCCTCAGAATCTTCCAGGGCTAGTGCTGCTAGAAAGTACTGCACGTCCCCCTGGAAAGTCAAAACACCACCCCCCTACACCCAGTTCAAGCGAAGAGGGTTCCTGATTGCAATTCTGCACAGCCATGGTCCATCAAAGCCATGGACCTGCCACTTCAGCAAGCCCAGGCCTCCAGCCACTTTGTATTTTTTTCCAGGGCCAGTTTTAATTTTTTTCTGGAAGATGCTTTATTTTCAGTGGTGGAAACTTGAAGCTGTTCAGTACTAATCTTATTCTAATATTTAAACAGTAGACAAAAATACCATTGGAGGTAGGTTACAGATCCAACTGAATGGTTCTGCACTTTGTCCCATGTGATCCATATGCATAACACATGCACGCACACATATTCTTTGAGCTTCTTAAGGCTTAGGCCTTGGCTGATCCTGCAAACACTCATGCACCTGATTAAGTTTGTGAGTTGTTCCCGAGAGCCAGTAGAGCTAACCCTACGTATATATTCTCAGAAGGACCTTCATTTGCACAGGAGCACATGGGGCTTATTTTCACAGCTGCTTTCCCTTTAAAAGTGAGAGGAATCATGCAGCCGACCCCAACACACAAGCAGCACTCTCAGTGATAGCCATCAGTCGCCTGTCTGCCTCCTTTCTCAGAGAACTTACCTAAACTGCTCTCCTACTCCTTCACCTAAGTGCCACTTTTACACCTCTCTGTTGTACTTGTACACAGGTAGCAGAGCCTGTCTCCTTTCTGTCAGGGAGGAAGCCTGTCTGCTCCTCTCTGCAGCCCCTCCTCCTGAAGGCTGCCCAAATGCTGAATGGCAACCAGTGTTGTGAGTCATGTTCTAGTCTGGCAACACAAGAGAAATCCAGGAGGTTAACCGACTAGGGTGGAAGATCCTATGATTTATTACAATACTTTTAATGACTCATCTCAGGTTGATGAAGGGATAACAGGACTGATACCAACATCTTAATGTGAAAAAAACTCCAGAACCAAAAAAAACCCAAATGCATTTTATGGGGTTTTGCTCCAGACCAAAATAGATCCATTTTGTTTAAAACTTCCAATGGCAACCAGTCCATTAATTTCATGTATTTACTACATACACACCTATCTTTGGGGTGTCATCCTCTTCCCTCAACATCATTCATGATAACAGGGCCAAAGTGCAGAAAGAAGCAGCCTCTCTCTCCCTGTTCCCAGCCATCACTGCTTGTTAACATAATTATAAAGAATACTGATGCCTGAGCATTCACACGGTGCTAAACGAGCCCCTTGTAGGTGGGTATGCTGTGCCTGCATATATATCCCATTGCAACTGTGGAATGTATGCCTTAATGCCCACTTAACCCCATAACAGGTGGCCGTGCCCTTTCCTTCTGTGCAAGGTAAGACGCAATCTCTCCCATTGTTGCTTAAACTCAGGGTATCGCTCTCAAAACTAAGAATAATTCCCGACAGACATAATAAGTGCTGTGCACACCTGCTGGATCCCCATCAATTTTGAGTTAAAATTTGGACAGCACTTTGATCATGTAACACATTATGTAAGTGCTAAATGTTTTCACTATAGTGCCCATAATCTCTCAGCCACCTCTTTCTGCTTTTCCCTTCTTAGCAGTGCCATGATGCCAAGGACGTTGGCAGGTAAGGTTATTTTTGTTATAAAGCCAGGTGAATGCCATGCCCACTTGCCGAGTTGGATGCCTCGTATGTTTGGGGTCTGATTCAAAGCACACTGGCAGAGGTAAGTGATGGGATTTTATATTTAAATCTGTTTGTAAAGACAACCTTGTGGTACCTTTTGAAAGTGAGCAGAATATCAAGCACAAGACTTTCACTCCCTTTTCCTACATGCCCTGTGGCACTGGGAAAACATTTATCCACCCTGTAAGTCGAAATGCCCTTGGGGGCAACTCACTGAGGTTTCGGGACGGCTCTGG